AATAAGAAAAACGCAACTTCAAAGTGTTTATGAAATTCACTTTCGTTTTGATCACAAAAGATCGTATAGCGTATAAAAATATTCATAAATATTAAATGTAGGGTTTTTTTAAACATCCAGTATAAGTGCGGTCATTATATCGATGAAAAGCCATTTCAAGCTAGAAGATTAAATTTTAGCAGATCAAAGATGTTTGGAGTTGTTAAGATCGTTGTTATATTCCTAGTCTTTGCAGGTACTGGAATACATATTGTGATATATATCTTTGTTCAAAGAATTCTCAAGTATCACTTCGTTATTCTTCATCGTATTTTTCTGGATTTATTTTTCTAGATAATGCGGTTGAATGTTTTAAACTTGGTCAGCTTTGCAGCTCAAATGGTAGAAATTTAATCCGTGAATGTGACAGTCAGGGTTGTGGTGATTTCTGAACACCAATGTAAGACCAGATGTAACCTTGTAGCAACACAGCGAATCGATAATATTCTTATAATCTTACAAAACAATTAAATTAACGTGAATTTATCATTATACAGAGGTTCTCGTACACACAATGGTGTCGACATAATTTGCAAACCAGGGAGTTCTGTCATGACACCATTTGCTGCGAAGATCTGACGAAAATCACGTTCTTATTCAAACAACAACAAACCATATAACAATGGATTGTATATTCAAGGAAGCGGAGAAGCCGAAGGTATCATCTCTCTCACATTAATAACCAAATTCATATTAGGCACGGGAAATTCATCTTAGACAGGAAAGTTGATTGTAAAAACCCGTCTTAATATGACTTGGAATGGATATAAAATTTACACGCGTAATGGGTCGGGTAATGCTAAAAAGGGTATCGTGATTATTACGATAATAATTTTGTTTATTTTCTCAGTTAGCGCCTCACACCAGAGCTAGTAGCTGAGGTAAAGACTTCGCGAGGCTGTTAGCTCAGCAAGTTACTCTCGTGTGCGGATAGTTTTTCGTGAGGAATTCGCCTCGAGAGGCAAGTTTCTATCGTGTGCGGATAGTTTTCAGGCTGAGTTAACTGCCTCGCGAGATCGTTAGCTCAGCTGATAGCTCTCTTGTGCGGCGGGCTTTACCCTTGTTCCGTCCTTGACCGTGTTGATATTTCAGAAACTCGTCTGATTTATCCGTCTAAATGCGAATTTAAGACGAGTTTCTCGTCCAGAAGGGATTCCCGTTCAAATTAACCGTTTGTTTAGACGGGAAAGTTAGGCGGGAAAATTCTGACGAGAAACCCGTCTGTGGCGTGATTCACATCAGACGAGTTTCCCGTCTAAGATGAGTTTCCAAGAGGAGTTTCCCCTGTAAGACGAGTTTCCTGTTTTCCTTGACCTTGTAAGACGAGTTTCCCGCCTCTAATATGAATTCGGCTAAACTAAATTTTAAACTATAATGCATTTCTCGAAACAGAATGAGTAATGAATTTGGTCATTGACTCTCGTCACCCCCCGGGTTAGGTCTAAATGGTAATTTCATGACGTGCTTTCAAGTAAAGATAAAAATACAATAAAAGTAAAAGAAAGTGTAGGCACAGAATACCTATCAGAAGAACAACTCCATAGTTTTTTGCATAAGTGGTTCCGTTCACTCAGCAAGTACTGTAAATGAAGGCAATCACCCCCCTGCCAACAGCCCATTTTTTAATATGAGCAGGGGGGTGATTCCTTCCATTTACGGTACTTGCTGAGTGATGAATCTTAGGAAGAACTACCCCCCTGCCAACATCGCATTTTTAACACTTGCAGGGGGGTGATTCATAGAGGCCCACTAAAGAGGGAGAGTGTTAAAATTGAATAATCAATTTCATTTTCAGATATAAAATGGATATTTCGGGTGGTCTTGGAAGATCTGCTGGAAAGGTATCCATATTCACAATTTTCTTCTCCATATTCGCAGATATTCCCTCCATAATCGTAAATTTTTTTCCCTGTGAAAAACCTTACTTTTTGTCGTGAAATTTTTCAGATATGGCGTGTTGGTCTGATGGGGTTGAACAGTACAAAAGATAATGTAAATCTTGTACTAAAAGCCTTCAAGGATGCAATGGAAAACGTGAAATTACAAAACAATCTGTGAGCAAACTTGAAACAAGAATTTTATTTTAGTTGACAAACCAATTTTTATTAGTTAATCTGGGTTCTGTTTTAATAAAGAGTAAAACTATCTCTCCAAATCTTTTTAATTGTTAAATTTTAAAATATGACTTGGTCTGTGGCAGTCTGACAGACACAGACATCATTTACAGACAGGCTGATATTTAAAATAGGTAACTGAGCTATTTCTTTAGGCAGAGGCTCAGTTAGGATTCTTGGTCTGGGGGACCAATGCAGAAGAACCCAGGTGGGGAGGGGTGGGGGGTGGGTGAAAAACCTAGGTGGAGGGGGTGCAGAAAAGCTTATTTCAAATCTTTTATTTTGTGTTTCATTTTAAGCCTTCCTCAATGAAAAAATCTTTTTCAAAGATTTGTTATTGTTCTTAATATATAATTCTAGAACTGACTCAGTTTAAATTCAATCACAAAAATACAAATCAGTATATGTCTGACAATCAACTTAGAATGCTACAATCTATTTCTATAACTTTGTGAAACTCTTATAGTTTAATATTTCAAATGTTCGTAATATGTTAGGAGTTTTCACTTAATACCTTACATATTGTTTACACAACAACAGCAGTGTGCGAGTATCTTGCTTCAGACATTTCTGGAAGTTCTTCCCAAGAATACCTTTCAAAGTTGAAACCTTCAACTGACTTCAGCGGTCCTCGCCCACCACACCCTCCCAGGACTACAATGTTGTTTTCAATAACAACTGCAGTACATCTCCACCTCTTACATCTCATTGATGGCAGCATGTGACTTTGTTCTGTCTTGACATTGTAAATGATAACTGTATCTAATGCCTTGTCATGTTTGTCTTTGCCACCAATAACAACAATGTTGTCTCCCCATCTTACAGTTGCCATCTCACTTACTTCATATGGCAGTGGTGACAACAGTTTCAGCTCATTCTTCTTTATATCGTAAAGTGCAACACTGCTGAGGTTGTCTTTGTATCTGTGAGTTGTAGTTCCACCAACTATCAACAAATTATCATCAAATATTTCCATGCTGTGATATTGTCTTGGTTCTGGCATTCTTGATAAGGTCTTCACAGTATAGGGAGGAACAAGCTGGACTGATCTGATCAAGTCAGATGAAACATTTCTCTTTTCACCTCCAGAGACTATGAACTGATCATTATACAGCACACTGCTGTGGTTTTTCAACTTATCAGGTAGTTTAACAGGACAGTCGCTCCAGTGTGTTGAGAGATCAGGGTTTGGGTCAATATTCATTCTAATCATATCATCAACAATGTCATACCAATCACAGTCACCCCCAGCTATAGTCATATGATTGTTATAAATAAATGAAGTCGCTCCATAACGTCTCTTTGGCATTGATTGTAATGGCAACCATGTTCTTTGGCGCCAGTTAAACATCTCTACAGTGTTAGTTCCATCACCTCCAGCAACAATAATATTTTTCTTATCACCACTTGGTCTATTTCTTACTTTTCTTGTGTTTTCTTCTATCTTGCCCTCCATCGTTATAAGAACGTCCTTTATTTCATCAAAAGCTCTGACCAAAGCTGTTTTCAATCCATCGACTTTGCTGTTAACCGCTTCGAGTTTTCCTTCCATATCTGCTTTTATATCTGCGCCTGTGCCTGTGGTATTTTTTGTGATATTTTTCTGTAAATTTGTTATTTTAGTTTCAACTGTTTTATTTGTTGCCATATTCTTCTCGATATTCGCCATTCTTTCCTCCATATCTGCCAAAGTTTTCGTCATTTCTCCGCACGAGTGACACTTCAACTTTCGGAATTCACAGACTTCACTTTCATGGTGAATAAGATCACGCTTGTTGACAATTAAACCACAGCCTTGGTTTGTACAAACGGCTGGTGTATATCCACATGTATCTTCATGGCGGTCAAGATGCTGTAATTCTACAACCTCTTGACAACCTCTGTCGATGTAAACGCAACGAATTTTTGACTCATTTAAATAATCTTTGATCATTCGTTGTGGTTCGGCCAAAGTCTCTACGGTCAGTTCATCAGCACACGTTGGACATGTTTGGGAATTTTCCAGATGTTTCGTAATACAACAACGGCAAAAAGAATGCTGGTTTCTCGAACACATAACCGGCTCTTTCAAGACGTTGAAGCAAATCTGACAGAGGAAATTTTGATTGATTTTGTCCACAAACCTTTCTTCGTCGTAGCCTTGTATACCTAAAGCCATATTTCACGTCGTTCTTGTGTCGTAATAATAAAGCAAGTTCTGTGTTGTTTGTCGCTCTGTAGTATAAACCTCGCTGTATAGACTCAATATAGATACAGTGTTCGTTCTTGAAGATGTCTGTGTTTGTATTTTCTCGAAATCTTCTCCAAAATGATCAGTTTATGAAGACAAATATCTCTTCCTTATAAAGTGTTTGCATAAAATGCATCATTTGCTGTCAGGAATTCCTGGAATTTGCTGCAGTTTTCCACAAATAAATTAAAAAATATCGCGAGCTGAGAGAGAGAACTGGGACTGGAGTATAACGCACTGAGCTATGTATGCCAAGTGAATGGGTCAAACTGCATGGTCCAGCATTATGAACCTAGATTTTTCCTAATCGTGTCAGATGATTTTACTCATCAGTGGAAGAGTAAAGTCAGTTAATATAAGTTAACAAAACTATCTGTCAGTGTCTTTTGTTAACCCATTAGCTTGCAATGCACTCAGATGTGACCTACTTTAGTATTTTACTCTGTCTAAGTCAAGTTAAATATTTTTGCGGTGCAATAATATTCCAATCTAAATGAGTCTTCATCAACACACAAATGGTTCAGGATATCTTGTGGATTGATCTACAGCTGTGGTAAATAAGAAAAACGCAACTTCAAAGTGTTTATGAAATTCACTTTCGTTTTGATGACAAAAGATCGTATAGCGTATCAAAATATTCATAAATATTAAGTGTTGTGTTTTTTTAAACATCCTGTATAAGTGCGGTCATTATATCGATGAAAAGCCATTTCAAGCTAGAAGATTAAATTTTAGCAGATCAAAGATGTTTGGAGTTGTTAAGATCGTTGTTATATTCCTAGTCTTTGCAGGTACTGGAATACATATTGTGATATATATCTTTGTTCATAGAATTCTCAAGTATCACTTCGTTATTCTTCATCGTATTTTTCTGGATTTTTTTCTAGATAATGCGGTTGAATGTTTTAAACTTGGTCAGCTTTGCAGCTCAAATGGTAGAAATTTAATCCGTGAATGTGACAGTCAGGGTTGTGGTGATTTCGGAACACCAAGGTAAGACCAGATGTAACCTTGTAACAACACAGCAAATCGATAATATTCTTATAATCTTACAAAACAATTAAATTAACGTGAATTTATCATTATACAGAGGTTCTCGTACACACAATGGTGTCGACATAATTTGCAAACCAGGGAGTTCTGTCATGACACAATTTGCTGCGAAGATCTGACGAAAATCACGTTCTTATTCAAACAACAACAAACCATATAACAATGGATTGTATATTCAAGGAAGCGGAGAAGCCGAAGGTATCATCTCTCTCACATTAACAACCAAATTCATATTAGGCACGGGAAATTCATCTTAGACAGGAAAGTTGATTGTAAAAACCCGTCTTAATATGACTTGGAATGGATATAAAATTTACACGTGTAATGGGTCGGGTAATGCTAAAAAGGGTATCCTGATTATTACGATAATAATTTTGTTTATTTTCTCAATTAAGTGCGCCTCACACGAGAGCTGGTAGCTGAGGTAAAGACCTCGCGAGGCTGTTAGCTCAGCAAGTTACTCTCGTGTGCGGATAGTTTTTCGTGAGGAATTCGCGTCGAGAGGCAAGTTTCTATCGTGTGCGGATAGTTTTCAGGCTGAGTTAACTGCCTCGCGAGGTCGTTAGCTCAGCTGATAGCTCTCTTGTGCGGCGGGCTTTACCCGCTTGTTCTGTCTTTGACCGTGTTGATATTTCAGAAACTCGTCTGATTTATCCGTCTAAATGCGAATTTAAGACGAGTTTCTCGTCCAGAAGGGATTCCCGTTCAAATTAACCGTTTGTTTAGACGGGAAAGTTAGGCGGGAAAATTCTGACGAGAAACCCGTCTGTGGCCTGATTCACATCAGACGAGTTTCCCGTCTAAGATGAGTTTCCAAGAGGAGTTTCCCCTGTAAGACGAGTTTCCTGTTTTCCTTGACCTTGTAAGACGAGTTTCCCGCCTCTAATATGAATTCGGCTAAACTAAATTTTAAACTATAATGCATTTCTCGAAACAGAATGAATAATGAATTTGGTCATTGACTCCTGTCACTCCCCGGGTTTGGTCTAAATGGTAATTTCATGTCGTGCTTTCAAGTGAAGATAAAAATACAATAAAAGTAAAAGAAAGTGTAGGCACAGAATACCTATCAGAAGAACAACTCCATAGTTTTTTGCATAAGTGGTTCATTCACTCAGCAAGTACTGTAAATGGAGGCAATCACCCCCCTGCTAACAGCCTCATTTTTAATATGGGCAGGGGGTGTGATTTCTTTCATTTACGGTACTTGCTGAGTGGTTAATCTTGGGAATAAATCCCCCTCTGCCAACTGTCATATTTTTAATACTTGCAGGGGGGTTATTCATAGAGGTCCAGTAAAGAGGGGGAATTGAATAATCAATTTCTTTTTCAGATATAATATGGATATTTCAGGTGGTCTTGGAAGATCTGCTGGAAAGGTATCCATATTCACAATTTTCTTCTCCACATTCGCAGATATTCCCTCCATAATCGTAAATTTTTTCCCCTGTGAAAAACCTTACTTTTTGTGGTGAAATTTTTCAGATATGGCGTGTTGGTCTGATGGCGTTGAACAGGACAAAAGATAATGTAAATCTTGTACTAAAAGCCTTCAAGGACGCGATGGAAAACGTGAAATTACAAAACAATCTGTGAGCAAACTTGAAACAAGAATTTTATTTTAGTTGACAAACCAATTTATATTAGTTAATCAGGGTTTTGTTTTAATAAAGAGTAAAACTATCTCTCCAAATCTTGTTAATTGTTAAATTTTAAAATATGACTTGGTCTGTGGCAGTCTGACAGACACAGACATCATTTACAGACAGGCTAATATTTAAAATTGGTAACTGAGCTATTTCTTGAGGCAGAGGCTCAGTTAGGATTCTTGGTCTGGGGGACCGGGGCAGAAGAACCCAGGTGGGGAGGGTGGGGTTGTAGCTGAAAAACCTATGTGGTAGGGGGGGGTAAAAAACCTAGGTGGAGGGGGTGCAGAAAGCTTATTTCAAATTTTTTATTTCATGTTTCATTTAAAACCTTCCTCAATGAAAAAATCTATTTCAAAGATTTGTTATTACTCCGGCGTCAGCGACGGAGTTGAAAATTCGCCCCGGTTTTGTTTTGTTTTTGTTTTTTTTTTTTTATTTTTTTTTTTTTTATTATTTTTCGTCGTCGCAAGTCTGTAATGGCGCGAAATATACTAGTATTTAAAATGTTTATGTGACCGTATTTATCTACGTCCCAGTCTTATCTCCCAAGAGTTTTGGTGCACAGCTTTGGCTAATTTTCCAATGCGCGATTCGATTTCGCTCGCATGATATGGCAATTCCTCCAAGAGGAACAAATAAACCGTTCTTTTCATGCTGTTCGATTAAGTTTAGATTGAATTGGGGTAAGAATATATTTAATACATGTAGACTCGGTCCTATTTTAACAATATCGCTGCTATTTCGCCGTTTAACAAGATGATGTGGTCGTGTATGGGCGCGTTGACACGTCGCGTAGTTTGCACAGGATCGAAGATTTAATACAACTATATAAGCGCGAATTCCAAAGGCAAAGTGTAAGACGAAGCGAATGTATCATGCGGTTTATTTACATTTTTGAACAATTGAACTTCTATACTGCGATGTGCTTCTGAATTTCGCGATCGAACATTTAGGTTCGCAAGGCATCTAAATGCGAATATGTATGCGAAACAATACGCGAGCTGTATTGTTTATGTTCAGAAGCTCTATATTGAAGACTGGCACGTGCGCCGGAGTTAACGCCAGAACGGCGTCTTGTTGTTCTAAGAACTGACTTAATTTAAATTCAATCACAAAAATACAAATGAGTATATGTCTGACAATCAACTTAGAATGCTACAATCTATTTCTATAACTTTGTGAAAATCTTATAGTTCATTTCAATTGTTCATAATATGTTCAAAGTTTTCACTTAATACCTTACACATTGTTCACACAACAACAGCAGTGTGCCACAATCTTGCTTTAGACATTTCTGGAAGTTCTTCCCAAGAATACCTTTCAAAGTTTAAACCTTCAACTGACTTTAGCTCTCGTCGCTCACCCCACCCTCCCAGGACTACAATGTTGTTTTCAATAACAACTGCAGTACATCCCCTCCTCTTATATCTCATTGATGGCAGCATGTGACTATGTTCTGTCTTGACATTGTAAATGATAACTGTATCTAATGTCTTGCCATGTTTGTCAATGCCACCAATAACAAGAATGTTGTCTCCCCATCTCACAGTTGCCATATCACTCACTTCATATGGCAGTGGTGACAACTGTTTCAGCTCATTCTTCTTTATATCGTACAGTACGACACTGCTGAGATTGTCTTTGTGTCTGTGAGTTGTACTTCCACCAACTATCAACAAATTATCATCAAATATTTCCATGCTGTGATATTGTCTTGGTTCTGGCATTCTTGATAAGGTCTCCACAGTATAGGGAGGAACAAGCTGGACTGCTCTGATCAAGTCAGATGAAACATTCCCATTATCACCTCCAGAGACTATCAACTGATCATTATACAGCACACTGCTGTGGTAGCTCAACTTCGTATCAGGTAGTTTAGCAGGACAGTCACTCCAGTGTGTTGAGAGATCAGGGTTTGGGTGAATATTCATTCTAATCATATCATCAACCATGCCAGACACACCACACCAACCCCCAGCTATAGTCATATGATTGTTATAAATAAATGAAGTCGCTCCCCAACGATCTATTGGCATTGATTGTAATGGCGACCATGTTCTTTGACGCCAGTTAAACATTTCTGCAGAGTTAGACCAACGACCTCCAGCAACAATTATATTTTCCTTATCACCACTTGGTCTATTTATTACTTTTCTTGTGTTTTCTTCTATTTTTCCCTCCATCGTGATAAGAACGTCCTTCATTTCATCAAAAGCTCTGACCAAAGCTGTTTTCAATCCATCGACTTTGTTGTTAACCGCTTCGAGTTTTCCTTCCATATCTGCTTTTATATCTACTTTTAAATCCGCGGTATTTTTGTCTATTTTTCTCTCTAAATTTGTTATTTTAGTTTCAATTCTTACACTATTCTTCCCCATGTTCTTCTCCATATTCGCCATTCTTTCCTCCATATCTGCCAAAGTTTTCGTTATTTCTCCGCACGAGTGACACTTCAACTTTCGGAATTCACAGACTTCACTTTCATGGTGAATAAGATCACGCTTGTTGACAATTAAACCACAGCCTTGGTTTGTACAAACGGCTGGTGTATATCCACATGTATCTTCATGGCGGTCAAGATGCTGTAATTCTACAACTTCTTGACAACCTCTGCCGATGTAAACGCAACGAATTTTCGATTCGTCCAAAAAATATTTTACCATTCGCGGTGCTTCGGCCAAAGTCTCTACGGTCAGTTCATCAGCACACGTTGGACATGTTTGGGAATTTTCCAGATGTTTCGTAATACAACAACGGCAAAAAGAATGCTGGTTTCTCGAACACATAACCGGCTCTTTCAAGACGTTGAAGCAAATTTGACAATGAAAATTTCGATCGATTTGGTTCACAAACCTTTCTTCATCGTAGCCTTGTATATATGAAGCCATATTTCACGTCGTTCTTGTGTCGTAATAATAAAGCAAGTTCTGTGTTGTTTGTCGCTCTGTAGTATAAACCTCACTGTATAGACTGAATATAGATACAGTGTTCGTTCTTGGAGAAGTCTGTCAGTCTGTGTTGGTATTTTCTCGAAATCTTCTCCCAAATGACCAGTTTATGAAGACAAATAGCTCTTCCTTATAAAGTGTTATAAAATGCATCATTTGCTGTCAGGAATTCTTGGAATTTGCTGCGGTGTTTCCACAAATAAATTAAAAAATATCGCGAGCTGAGAGAGAGAACTGGGACTGGAGTATAACGCACTGAGCTATGTATGCTAAGTGAATGGGTCAAAATGCATGGTCCAGCATTATGAACCTAGATTTTTCCTAAACGTGTCAGATGATTTTACTCATCAGTGGAAGAATACTGTCAGTTAATAAGTTAACAAAACTATCTGTCAGTGTCTCTTGTTAACCCATTAGCTTGCAATGCACCCAGATGTGACCTACTTTAGTATTTTACTCTGTCTAATGTCAGATGATTTTACTCATCAGTGGAAGAGTACTGTCAGTTAATAAGTTAACAAAACTATCTGTCAGTGTCTCTTGTTAACCCATTAGCTTGCAATGCACCCAGATGTGACCTACTTTAGTATTTTACTCTGTCTAAGTCAAGTTGAATATTTTCGCGGTGCAATAATATTTCAATCTAAATGAGTTTTCATCAACACACAAATGGTTCAGGATATCTTGTGGATTGATCTACAGCTGTGGTGAATAAGAAAAACGCAACTTCAAAGTGTTTATGAAAT